CTCTCTCTCTCTCTCTCTCTGTGTGTGTGTGTGTGTGTGTGTGTGTGTGTGTGCCTTACAAAATGCAATTCAAATTCATATTGGATTAAACAACTGGGTGGAAAGGCTCTGTGGTCATGTCTACCAAATGAAGTGCATAATTTACTGTATCATTTATTATTTGTGAAGTATATGTATAACTTACTGACATCTTTGTAATGACACAGTTCTTTGTTTTTTTCTTTTCCCAGTATTGAAGACCTGATCATAGCAGATTTGCTGAAGATAACAACCACAGTTCATCACCAAAACCCGCTTCTGTAGACGCTCAAAGTTCTTTCCTACCAACACTCCAATAGACGAGGCAAACATGGCAGGCACAATAGATTTTGAAGCAAAACACACAGCCTATAAAGTTTTGTATGTGACTTTCATCATAGCAATTCTTGCCGCTAACATTGCTCTGTTGATCAAGTTCCTTAGGAAAGGGAGAATACTTCTGAGCCAGCGTAAATTCCTAGTTATGACCCTAGCCGGGGGTGACATCTTCATGGCTTTGTTCCCGTTAGTAGTCGCCGCACGCACAGTCTTTGAAGAGTACTTCTCTTTTAGCTGCAGTACATTATTCACCGCTGCGGTTTACTGGAAATATTATCTCCCATTTGTGTATGGCCTTGGTCTGGTCTTCCTGTGTGCAGAACTTCGCTTCAGGCGCCATCTTCGCTCTATGATCACAAGTCCGTATGTCGCTTCCATCTTAATAGCGGCGGTGCTTTGGATCTTTGGACTCATCCTGATTTTGCCTCTAGCTATGGCTGGCTTTGACACACTACGGTGCAGTTTTGACAGCTCCATGACAATCGAACGACTGAGAGCCCTGATTTTATTCGGTATGATTCTTCCCCCCGTTTCTGCTGTCATATTCGCTATCGCCATCAACTGTAAGAAGATCAAAGCAGTCCCCGAATACTATGACGTCCCCTCGGCACAAGGAACCGTCATATCGACTGCTGCATTGCCAGAATCTCAAGGCACCCTCCAACAACAGCATTATTTTGGACAGTTTCAAAGCCAGTACAACCAAGGGCTAGCTCCATCGTCACAACCGTCCAGCCACTCTGTGCAGCCGATCACCAACGTAAGTGGTCAGCTTCAGTCAGTGGCTTATCCTGCATATCCTCCCAACTCCCAGAAATCGTTTCCTCCTTCCCAAGCTGTGATGCCCGCTTCAACAGGCTCAACTGAGTCTGCTTCAGACGAAGAGTATTCCGAAAAGGCTGTGCGACAAGAACAAAGAGCCCTTCTGGCTGTTTCTATTCTCAACGTGATTCTGACACTGCCTCTGGCAATATTCACAATACCCGCCGCCAGTTTTGCACTTGGATACCAGGGGGCCAAGATCCCAGACGGCCTTGACGCTCTGTCGGCGGAGGTCTTGGGTGAGCTGTTCCTGTGGATGCTGTACCTCCGCTCTATCCTGACGCCTCTTGTCTGGATGTGGGGCGACCCGAAAGTTGCTTAAAGTAAAACTTCGAATTACAGATTTTACCATACGGATTGACTATTTCAATCTGGCGCTTTTTCTACCCATAACCGTCTCTACCCATCTTGTCATCTTTCCAGGGAAGACAGTTAAGTAATTAAGACCCATTAATTAAGACAAAAGCAAAAACACAAAGAAACATAAAAGTTTAGAAAATAAAAACAAAAGCTTCAAGAAAAAAGACCGGACAAAGTTGCAATTTACGAGGCGGAAGTTGACCCGACAATACTGAAAAACAGAACCTGCGAATCATTGGCATCACCTAGATAGTCACGTCCAGTGAACGTCATCCTGTTTCCTTTTAAACTTGTTATATTGTTATTAAGATTATT